CACTCCGGAATAGTCGCAAGGATCTGTTCCTCTTTTGTTGCTGTCCAGCATTATGGCACAATTAATACTGGATTTATGTCAGACATGCAGGAAAGATGTTTCTCCCATTAATTTAAGCATTAATTGTTTCGACTAAGGAGACACTCCTCGACGAGAGAAGATCTACTTGTAGCCGGTGAAGCCACCTTTTGAACCGACGGTTCTGCCGTGTTTGAGGTTCCATAAAAGCAACATCTTTTGGATGCTTTCACTGATATTTTTTGAGCCATTTTATCAAACCACGAAAGTCGCAAAGATGTGAACACTAATGAATATCAGGCTCTTTCCAATGCTCGATTATTTACACAATATACTATCATCAGCCATAATTACTGACTATAACCAGTTCATAAACTGAGAGGTCATTCAACACAAAGAAAAACATAACACTTATCCTAAAAGTGTTATATGTTATAACATATTATAACGACTGACCGACTATTCCGGCATTGTATATTAGTGGAACTCTATAGTCATACCTCGGCTACAGTAGTTCTGTTACTTTGTTTCATTCTCATTATCGTTATTTGTTGCTGATTTCGGCAATCTTTGCAATTACTTTTCCATTAACAGGCACTGCTTCTTCAGGCTTTAACAACTTAAACATGACAAAAGATTAAAACAGCGCAAAGTATTGCAGATGGGCGCTTTTATCTCGGTCTGTCTCACTGCCAAAATTAATGGTCTAAATTAGCTAATACAAAATGGCTGATCAGGGAAGTAAACTGCACATTAACCATCCAAAAGAGTATTAAGCAAATTTTTAAAAAAAGTCTGCAAAAAGTTTAACACCGTTATAGTCCCCGTCCTTCGGTAAAATGGCCACAAAAACAAAGGAGACAAGTGGATGAGAAAAATACAGAAAGAGGCATGCTAATAGGCAATAAAGGCACACTTTCAAGCAAATGAAATGACGCTCTTGCCGAAGAAATTCGGTGTAGAGCCAAAACACATCATTCACCCAATGACACACTCACCGTACTTTACCAAAAACATAAGCAAATAGCGAAACAATGACTTATCTTTATTTCAAAATTCATAGCAAGGAAACATCTTCAATCTGAAGCTAAAAAATTGCTGGTTTTGACTGTTTAAAAATTGAATTCCTTTCCCTTTCAGAAGGCATACGCATATTTATTCAGCTTTTTGGCTTGATGAGTTTGATCAGTAGAAGGAAAAAGGTTAATTTTTAAGCATAATCGTTCCTTAATTATTCAGCAATCCCAGAAACTCTCATCGAAAATCTTCCGCTATATCACTTACATACACATGAGGTGCAAGAACAAGAATGTTACACCTGTAATGTAACTGCGAGTACAAATATACTAAAACAAAAACCTACTTTGTCATTTGTTAACCGAACACTGCTATGGTCTCATATTATGACAAATTCGTCAAACTCATAAAATGAACGTACTCCAAAGCAGAAAATTGAACTCCTCGCAATGAAGAACGTTAGCAGTTGCATCAGAAGCAACTTACTGTAGTATCACGGGTGATTAACCTACCTTCAAATCAGATCATAAGCATCGAAATGCTGAAACATTTCTGTATGATATTACATAGTATCACAGGGTGAGTATAAACGGTCAGTCGTTTCGGTCCACATTTTAAGTTCTTTATCTGTATTACGTTAGAAATAAAGGTGAAAGTTGCATAATATGCCAGTAATTTGCCTAGCACGTTAGAATGCCAGTCTCAAACCCAACGAAGTACGTGAATTTTTTTTATTAACTGCTAATTCCCTTAAGTAAGAAAGAAACCCCGCTGTGCTTATCTATCTAAAAAATAGGCATAATTTCATTTACTTCAGAAACAGCATTGGCAGGATCGTGCGTTGGCATGGTCATGCCATTTCCTGCGAGACATGTGCGATGTTACCTAATGAGTGCTTTTACTTCTGTAACGTAATGTAACCCACCTGATCGCTTAGAAAATTTGCAGAAATTGTAAATCTAAATTGAAAATTTTATTTAGTTATTAATGTCATCACCTGCAAAACTTAACAGGTGCTTCTCAAGAAGACTGTTAACATACGGTACAACGTTCAGCTGAGATTTGGTAAGTTATGTACATGAGTAGACTAGGCAATCGATTGTAATGAGATGGATAAACAGATCTGCTATGGAAAGCCAGGTTTTAGGTCCCGTTATCAGCATCTTTTTTTGCAGTCTATATATAAACTTTTCTTTATCAACCATCATGAGTGCTTAATATGAGCCTAAAATGTGTGATTCAAGATATAAGCGACGCAAATAACGTTAAGCTCAAAGGAATGCCAATGCAACTGGACTAAACAAATTTCAGGATAAAGGAAATCGAAAAAATTCAGTTATCAGCTGCTGTTTCTCCGACTTGAGGCATCAACATTTACAGCCTTAAATCTAATGGACTACTATGCACTTTCAACTCGAACTGTTTAACTGATGCATAAGAAAGATGGCACACCACAGACGGAATTGCTTGATTCAATGAAAACCTGATAGGTCTGCGATTAGAAAATCGAGAGGTTTCGCTTCTCAGTTTGATGATAGCACCGAATCACTAAATGGGTCTCATAAAAATGTTGCCTTTAATCCGAAGGAATTTTAGGCTTTGAAAATGAATAACAGTTAAATACTTCTATAACTTTATTCTCCTTTCAGCTTTTATTCTTCTACAATACTTTCAGATTCTAACCATCTCATGATGAATATTTCTGCAATAAACGTGCTAATTGCAAGCATTAAGACCAGCCGATGTCAGGTGAAAACATTTAGATGGCACAGAAAAATGTGTTGGTGTTGGTTATGCGTACAATAATTATGAAATATGCTTAGAACCGCGGAGGTGAACAGAAATGCGTGCCTTCTTCAAGGAAACAGAGCGGATATGCAGCCTGTAGAGGCGATCCATGAGTATACAGCATAAAAAGTCATTTTCGATGAATGAGTCAATGTAGAATAATCGGAGAAATAAACGCAACATAAGCGTGCAAGAGGACGAGTTTGGGTTATAGTGGAATTGTAGCATGCCTATGCTTTGGCATTTCATGCCACTGTACATGAACGTTATTAATAAAGTGTGACGCTTCTACTCCAGTTAATATTTTTAATTTTGCGTGTCGCGTTTAAAAATTGAAACAAAATGAGCAGGGTACTGGTTTGTAACCTGCAACTCAATTTAGATCAGTATTATTGTTACGGTTAGCGAATCGGGTCCGATGTGATGATGGTCTATTCCTTCACCATTTCGCATTCGGGTTTATTAGTACCGCAACACCTGCAGGAGCATCTGCTTTACAACAACACTGCTTCCTTAAGTAAATACATTGTGTTTGTATAATATTAATGAAAAATAGAATAAAGAATAAATAAAGTAATTTCGATTTTGTTTGGAATAGGCGCCATTTGATTACGAACTTATTGGAATTCATTATAGAAAAACAAAATATGAAATATCAGACCTTCGAAAACTTTCGGTTATCGCCAGTAGGTTGACGAAGTTTGAACCAGTCCCGCCATATAGAAAACGTTTTTAACCATACCACTGTGTAGTGAATATTCTTCATGGTTCAAGATCATGCTGATGAAGCGCACTGTGCAAGGGATTACAGTTCTAATGTAAATGCGGAATAATTTTTATTATACAGTGATAACTGCGTAACAGTGTCACTAAAGAGAGTTTTTCAGCTACTGTTGCACAACTCAATGAGTTACACACACAGCCGCGTGTGAACCACTGAAGTAAAGTACAGGGAGTTTTCTATCTTAATAATGCTAGACTGGTCTTTTATGTATTTTCTAACTCACTGGAACTACTGTATAATTACGACATGATTCCGTTAAACAAATTTCATCTGTCTATTACTACTATACACGACGGCACTTTCGTGGGATAACACATGTGGTCCTTTAATGTTTGCTTTTAAGGGAAACGCGTGTATAGTCCTAAACGAAATATATTCGTTTATTTTTGAAGTTTAACCGTTTCCGTTTAAGTCTTTAATCCATTACCATAGTCTCCTTCGGAGACAATTTCCCCAGCATAAGATGAACTACAGCAATGTAGCGATTCTCCAATCAAGGAGAACGATCTACCAATTTGGGCAACGACATCTCTTTTAAAGTATCAAGCATTAAACTAAATGAAATAAACTAAACTTAACTAAGTAAACTAATATAACTAAATTAAATGAAATATGACCCAATTAACTCAGTCGTTGCTGCTCCCAAGCCCGGATGAGAAAGGAGGATAGATGGAGACCGTGGAAAGACTCCGTAAAATTTAGCTAACTGCCACTCATGTTATTGAAGCAACCGAAAATTAAACCTGATCGGTTGTCCCCAGCTTACTAAGGGCAGCGCAGCTGTTTTAGGACTGAGGCATACTGCGAAAAGTCGGTGATCAAAACCTGCTCATTGACCCTCTGTCAGCCGGAGGCGTAGCAGCAAGTCAACGGCTAACGAAGACCAATAGAACGACGACGAGGATATCGGTCAGAAACGAGTCGCTACCCGTTCTGAAAGGAGGAGGCAGGCAGCGCAATGCCATTATAGCACATCAGAAAAGGGCGAACGAGAAAGATACCACCAGTGAGAGCATAAAGTCGGAAATTTGAACATATCTTCACTCAGAGGAAAAAAACAACACAGTTGATGAGGCCATAAAGTATCAACTCGACATTGTTGAACTCTTGTCAACGAAGCGCCAAGGCTCTGAACTCTTGAACCTCAGCAAGTGGAAGCTATTCTACTCAGGCGTCGATATCACGACTCGCGCTTAGGCCTGGTGTTGGTGTTCTGTTACAACACAACCACGCAGATAGATTTATTGATCGGAAGCCTGTCAGCGGAAGGGTGGTAATCCCTTGACTGAAGCGACAACAAGCTAAAGCGTTCACCTTGCTACAGGTATATGCATCCAATTTGCAGGGATAACATGAAACCTTCCTTAAGGAAGTGCAGTGTGCTCTGTCTGAAATGCCAAACACAGAGTCCCTCATACTGATGGGCGAATTTAATGCGCACGTCGGAGTAGACGCAGAAAAGTGGAATGGCGTGATTGGGAAAGACGGCCCTAGCGACCTCAACAATAATGGCATGAAGTTGTTGCGGTTTTGTGCAAACAACGGATTGTCTAT